CATACATACATACATACATACACCGAATCACTAAAACTTTGACAATTTAGCGATATACAAATATCTACTGAGATGCAAGATATCAAATGAGATGCAAATCTTAAAGCATGCGTAAATACGATTGCTTAGCCACAGCATTTTGTGGATACTGAAATACGTCACGTCTTGGCAAAGGCTGTTTACGTAATTTATTCAGGGAAATTAGCACGTTCATCCTAATTTTCTTGCCTAATTAAACCATAGCTCGATTTTTTCCTTACCTCTTACAGAATGGATAAGCTATTCCCAAACAACACAAGTAAGGTCCTGTTAAATGAATCGACAGAGCAGAACGTKGTCAACTGTCAGTTAGTCCAGAGTAACATGTGGTATGTTGAAGATCTTACGACAATCTACATCATTGCCTGCATATTCAACTTTGTGTTTGCCATAGTCGCTGTCGTTGGTAACTTCTTAGTACTGCTAGCTATTATCAAAACACCTACATTACACAAACCTTCTATATTTCTAATGTGTAATCTCGCTGCTAACGACCTTGCAGTGGGTCTTCTCGTTCAACCAATCTACGTCATCTACAAAGTCGCAGAAATGAATGGTCTTGTGACTATGTCATGTTATTGCGGCGTTGTCGTCAACATGCTGGCCAATCTCTTTTCTGGCATGTCTTTCATAACAGTCACGTGTATCAGCATCGACAGATACCTGGCTCTGTACCTTCACTTAAGATACGTTTCTGTGGTAACCACACAACGAGTGGTCAAGGTTTTCGTTGTGATATGGGCAATCAATATAATATTCGTAACATTTTATCCCTGGAAAACTTCAGTTGCCTTGGCCTATGGAATCCTTATAATCATTGCTTGTCTTTTCATTGCAACGTTTACCTTTACCAAGATACATGTCATTGTTCAAAGACATCGAAGAAAGATAAACGATCTGACAGGACAATCTTCTAATGTTTTGGACCAAAATCCTGCCTCTCTTCGTGGGATAAATATACCAAAATTTTGGAAATCAGTCCTCACAATGAAATATGTCTATATCCTCTTGTTGGCGTGCTTTTTTCCATATATGGCAACTTTGGCAACTCGAGTTGTGATTGGCCTCACAAAAGAGTACAAAATGGCCTTGAACATCACAACGACTATAATCTACATCAATTCGTCTATCAATCCTATCGTGTATTGTTTTAGGTTAAGAGAAGTACGTAATGCTGTACTCAAAGTACTTGGGAAAAGAGTAAGAGAAGACAACACATCAGGGACATTTCTTAGTTCATCTTTAGGAAACAGAAACTCCTTTGTTATCCAWCAATCACCCAGGAACCACGAATTGTAATATATGTAATGTTTATTTATTTAGTTAGCTTTCCTTGTAAGGCCAGGCACAACACAAAAGCATAGACACGTACTGTGGGCCCTGTAGTCTATAGTAGGGGCACTTGAAGATGGTCGTCACYAGTGTCTTCAGTGGATCTTTTATACGTCCGCCTTATGCAGGGTTGTATAGTGAAGACAGACGACCGGGCCTACGGTCTTAAGTCCTTGTTTGAGAATGCGCAACAATGCCCAATGATAGATAAAATAGAGTTATAGGGGAAAACGAGAGTTTGCCGTAAAGGGAGCAGAAGGCTACCTGAGATGCAAAACTGTAAGAAAGACAGCACGGCGGAGAAGTGACGATCTCATCGATTGGTTACTATCCATAGACGTCTACGATTTACGAGTCTAGCTCCCTACCAGCATACAGTGGTTCTTTTGAGTCCCTGTTGAAAAACTTTTAACGATACCCTGAAACAGTGTCTGGCTGAACAAAGTCAGGGCACCCTTAACTTTCCCCCCTTTTTCAAATTTATTTATCTATTCAAACTTTTAGAAAACAAATATTGCATCGGTTCAGAATACATTTTATTTTATCTTTCAGTTTCAATTTTGTGTCACAGATTTTAAAGTTACCAGAACAAGTAATTTTTGCGATTAAATAGATTCATGCATATTAGTTTACAGTACTTCATTGATACGTATTAGTCCCTAGGGATTTATAGTATTTCACTGTAATACACTTATAGTGAGTCATACATTAAACTGATGATGGACGATGGATATCCTCCGAAATATCTTACTCAAAAAACGTCTAGTCATTCTTTTCGTATATAAACTTTTGACCCAAAGAAAMGTATTCAAATAGATTCATGTTTTTAATTGCTTCCTATCTCTTTCTTAATCCAGTCCATAAAATGAGTAACCTTTGCATATACGCCATAGTTACCAGCTGACCCGCACCCTACGCCCCAACTAGTAACACCCTGAATGAAATATCGACCTCTTGACTCACAAACCAAGGGTCCGCCCGAATCGCCCTGACATGAGTCAATCCCACCCCTATCGTACCCCCCACAGATCATGGAATCGTGCAGTCTTTTAGGATATGCTTTTTCACACCTTGGTCGACCAACGATTGGAACTTTGGCCTGACGTAGATAGTTTGGAAGCCATCCACTGGGGGATATAGCACCGAATCCTGTTATCCAACATTCTTTGCCTTCGTCTGGAACGGGTTCGTTTTCGGGAGTGCATACCAGATTGATAAACCTAAAGAATTGAGCAACACCATTAGATTGCTAGGAGAAAAAAATTCAAATTTACATCAGAAAATGATAGGATTTGTCATTATTTTTTATCAAACAATGTGCTCTGGCATAGTTTTTGTGTTTAAAGGTGCGGACACACGGTGCAACATTGCACGCAACAATGCACGCAACAATGCACGCAACAAATTTTAACCGGGGTGATACACGTTGCAACAAAATCACACAACAGCGCTCTTGTAAGCATGCTATGCTAAGATATTTGGTCAGGTTATAAATTTAGTGCAAACTGATTGGCTGGAAACTTWAAAATGTTGCACGCAATGTTGCAGCCATGTTCACATGATGAAATTTGTTGAGCGCAATTCAAGAGTAGAGCTCGATTCAACTTAAGATTTTTTGCATGCAATGCAAGTTTCAGGGGTAGACACCCGCTGCAACAGTCCTGTTGCGTGCAATGTTGCACCGTGTGTCCGTACCTTTTGATATTTTAATCCCTTAAAACTCAAGCAACATATCAAGCGCTTTTTAACAGGTTTTTGGTAACTGTGATGTTGGATGATTGAAGCAAGTCTAATGATACATACTTGTTAAGTTTAGCAGGTTTTTCCAGTTTTACTAAAGCAACATCATAAGCATGTTTAACTGGTTTATGGTAATCGGGATGCTGGATAATCTTGGTAACCCGGATGTCCTGGATGTTGCTATTGTTTCTTGTACGATGATGAGCGCCAAGTCTAAATCCACGAATAAAGACAGATATTTAACAGGAGTGTGTGTAAAGGGATCTATTTTTATGATTCCTTGGACGTAATGTTTTCCATTTCAGACCACGGGTCATTCCATTGACAATATTGATTCTTTGTTTGAGTTGTACCACTTATATTCTTTAATTGTAATTCTTTAATTGTAAATATTTATAACAAAAAGTAATAAATTTGTTGTTGTTAAAAAATGAGTATATATTCATGTTTCTTCTCATGCGCAACCTTCAAACAAAGAATATAATTTTCAAGAGAAGGACAAGTTGTCTGAAATGGGAAAACTGCACCCAATGTAAAGTAGTCAATTTCAATCAAAATCACAACGGAGTTTGCCAGTGTGTAAAGGCGATTACACGGAGCAGTTTTCTCAGCAACGTGTCTCCAACAGCGTTGCGACACAGGTTGAAAGAGTATCTACATAGTGCAACGGAGACACAATCGTTGCCAAAAGTAGAAACGAATTCTGCTTTTTGCAACGATTGCTAGAACTTATCTGGCGAATTTTTTTAATGCCGTTGCGAGACAAGTTGCAGAGACAATATATAATTGCTTTGTGTAATCGCGCCTTAAAACTTAAACACTGTGYAAAAACCTTTACTGAACTTTGGGACGTCAGGCTTTGTCGGGTGTAAAATACCGCCCGAATTTGTCAGTACAGCTCTTAACTTTTTTACGAGGTTTCAGTTTCCTTCTCGCTGTATTCAACACCAACACAGTACCAGTTAGTAACTGAGTTATAATTTTATAGGATCATTATATCTCTCCATCCTTTGTGAAAAATGAGTGGTTTTACCTGACATGAATAGTATCGGCTGTTTTCTTCTTTAGGCAGTGAGTAGCAGACAAAACCCATTGAGSATGGATCAAAGTTCCTCCACAAAAAGGGTAGTTGTCTTTGTTTACCAACTGAGCCTGCCATGGCCAGTCTCCTGCACGAGCATTTGAGCCACCAACAATCCTCGTGCTGGGGCGAAGACCACACTTGACTTGAAAAAAATCAGACTAAATGACTATACGTAATAGTATGAAATGCTATTACTTTATCGCGAAATTTCATGCTATTACTTTTTAACAACATGATCAGCAAGGAAGATAAAAATATATATCATCATTAAGCTAGGTTTTTTTGTTCACTGGCGGCCTTTACCCCACTAAATTAAACGAAGGAATTTCCAGGTAGATATCTAGTTATCAAACTCGTTTTAAGAAACTTCCCCAATGATAAAATAATGCGATTATATACCTTATCGGCTTCGCCCCGGGTTGATATGTCTCATATCCACCTCGCTAACGGTATATAAGCTAGCTACTTTACATATAGTTTACTTTAGCCTAAAGGGATGAACTACAAAGTCTTGATTACCATGTAATGTAGGGAATATCGTGGAAATAAAATATCTTTGTTGCCTGTATAAAATGAACGAATCTTTATAGCACTTAGCTTAAGTATTTCGAGAAGTGGTTACTATCGTTACTGGTCACAAATCATAAGAAAGACTTACGATGTGTTGAACACATGCGCAATGAGTACTTGATGGGTCCCACAATCACTAGGGTATTTAGTATTATCATATRACCCGTATCTACCCGGGCGCGCGCTCTTAGAAAAACCTTCGAGAAAATGACGTGAGCAGGGCCGTACGGCTTTGAGCGAGCAGGGCCGTACGCGTCCGAATTTTTTAATTATTTTTCTTTTCGTGAGGGTCATATGATAAAATGCTTATTGACTGAGTTGGGTCGGGCCGTATGGGAAAATATTTGGCYCTCGGTCATTTGTACGGACCTCGCTGCGCTCGGTCCGAACGGCATCACCTCGAGCCAAATATTTTCCCATACGGCCCTAACATAGTATTCGTTTGCGTTTCATAGACTTATCTTTTTATGATTTTATTATTTAAGAAAARAATTGCTTACCAGTCGGTGGAAGAGTATTGGGAACAATTGGAGGTTCAGCAGTGGTCGTAGGAATTCGAGGTGTAGTCATTTGAACCGTAGTAATGGCAGGAGCTGTGCTAGGTTTTGTCATTGGGGTGTGTGGAGCAGGTGTAGGTGTTGGAGATGTTGCTGTTGTAGGCAGCGTGGTAGAAACGGTAGGAGCTGGAGTAACTAAAAAAGATATTAAGGAAAAAAAGATATTATTAAGGATATCATCGTGCAAGAAAGTAACTTATCAACAACAGAAACGGTAAGAACGTTTGTGACTTAATATTACTTATATATATTTTACGACCATCACCCCCTGCAAGGGGCACTTCCGTTAGATTACYTCCATACGCACTACCATTACACTCTATATTTACAACATACAACTCTCAAATAACATGTTGATTTGTAGGAGCGAGGAAAACCGGAGAACCCGGAGAAAAACCCTCATTGCAAAGCGAGAGAACAACACATCAAACAAACTCAAATCTCGTATGGGRTTTAATGGACTACTTCGACGATACGGCGGCAATATTAATCTTGCCAGGGGCAAAACTAAACAAAGATGACAGAAAATATATAGTCTCGTAAGTCTGTATTTCTTTATTGGTAAAGGTGATCGATGTGCCGTCTTAATTCATCTTTTGTTGTATTCTCTTGTGGTGAGCTGTTAATATCAATTGATGTCATTATTGCAACAAAGCTTTCATAATATTTGCTTCTTGGACGAACCATAAATTCGATCCAAGATAAGCGCCGTATCGTCGAAGTACCCCATTGAAAATCGAGCTCGTTACTCCAGTGAGAGACCCCTGTCACCCACACCCCCAAACCATTAGGATATCATTAAGGATTATAAATCTAGCAAAAATTCATTACCTTTATCATCGCAGGCTCCCACCATGACATCGTCGATTGCTATGTCACCTTGGAAGCCATTTCCAACAACACCTTCGAACGCTAGCTGGAGGACAAAAACACACACAAAATWAAAAAAARSYWAAAAAAACTTTTCTTTAGGCTTAGTGTGCTTTTGTTACTCCTGCGTGCTGTATTAGTTAACATACCACGGATAATTCTGTTCTATATCCTAATAAGGCATGTATCGCGTAGCAATTCTTCGATAGCACGTTACGTCATCGCGGCCATGTTGGTGCCATTTAGCAAAATATTTCTCATTAGCATTAATTGTTAACGGCACAACAATGTTTTTTGTCTTTTGACTCTCTTGGGAATGCTTGCAATCCATCAATTAAGTGATACACTATGTTTTATCGCACACATTGAAAACAGCCAAGCAGAGTACAGCAAATTAAAGCTGTTATAAATTCAGCGGTATTCCATTGTTTCTCCCCTGCAGGCATTGCAGCCTGGTAGTATTCCTTCGTGAGGGACGAAATAGTTATGTAAAGCTTTCTTCATGACACATCATGGTTTTGGGTGGATGCTTTATGAGATTACACGGCACGCGCGCACCTTTTCTATTTTGTCATTCGAATCCAAATTAACGGCTATGATAATTTAAATATATAAAAATGTTGTRCTGTACTGTGTGCAAATATATAAAGCACACCCCACTACTCATAGTTCTTTAGTTCTCTAGTAATATGCCAATCCCCGCTTGCTTTGATAATTCCATACAGAACGCATCCGCGCATTTGCTATTCATCAGGCACTAACCGTCTGATCTCCAGTTTGCTTCAAGCTAATCACAGCTTTGTTCCAGTTATATCCATRTCGTCCTGTCTTACTGAATACTTTTGTTGAGCCAACATAAACGTTCAATGTGCCGATATGAGAGCCAATCATATGGTAGTAAAATGAGAGGCATAAATTTCGACCATTCAGAGTTAAGGGTTTTGTTAGAACTGCTTTGTCACCGGCATGCTTCCTGRACGCTTCGATATACATGTAATAACCTAAAACGCACCAATAATATTTTCAATTCCGTGGAATATCACTATGTTTCTTGATTACGAACTCATTTGCTCAGGGCTAGCAACATTTTGGCGTCAAAATGTTGACAAATAATGGGATTAACAGTGGATTCCAGAGTGGCTCTTCTTCCACTGGATTCCAATTGGAATTTACAAGTTRATTTTTGCGTTGGGAGGAAAACCGGAGAACCCATAGAAAAACCCTCGAAGCACAGGAGAGAACCAATAAACAACTCTACTCACATACGACACCGAGCTCGTCGGGACTGGAACCCGGGTCGAATTAATGAGAGGTGATCGCTCTCACAGCTACGCCACCCATGCTTCCCAAATTCCCGATTTCTAATWTTTATTTTGTTCGGAAGTAAACATAGAACTCTGTTTTAAAGAAAGATTTTCATTGATTATATTTCACTTGAGCAAAATTGCGCATGCGCCAAAAAGTGGATTATGCCAGAGCAATCGTTCTTCGCAGCAAGCCRGAAGAAACGCAGGCTCTGGGTACTAGATTGGGTTCCAGATGGATTTTTTACTCGGATTTACTAAGAGCAGCGAAGCCGCGAGAAGCGAMATCGGTCTATTCAACAATACATTAGAAATTTCGCTGTTTTTTCTTTGCTTGGATTCCAAAAGATTTAGTTAATTTCATGATACAAAGTTTAAAACCTTTAAAAAAAATTTAACCAATAAAAAATCCAGGTTCTTTACGGAAACTAGTTTCGTCTTTAATGCTAACCTTTTCAATCCTTAAATATTTTGTTGATGCCTAAAACATCATTTTATAGCTTTAGAACCTTGTATCATGAAATTTTAAACTTCTATCCGTGTTTATTTTTGAGAAGATTAATTCAGATCATAAACCTTTAAATGAATTCTTATCCCCAGAAGGGCCAGTACCACCCGATGATGTTCTTCCTTTGTGTCTTCTCCAATCAAAACTGTCATCTTGTTTCTGGGTAAATCCACAGAGACCTTCGTCAAACGTGCAAAAGAATCCTGAAAAAATATTTGAATAAAGCTCAACCTAAAGAATGATAATACAGCGGTACAGGTATATACTAAGTGGACATCTTCAGGACCTTGTCTAATGTTCATTTMATAAAGATTTGTTTTCAAGTAAATATAGAGCGTTTTCACTCACGTGAGAAGGCAGCCATAAATAGGCAGGCACAATAGAAACTTTCTGCACGGTATTTGCATAAGAATAGAGTTCAATTCCCGGAGGATAGAAAATGTATATATTGTTTTGGTACRCCATAATGGCCGCTGTGACGTCACGTGAAAACGCTCTATAGGAAGACCATTTCGCAACCATGCAATTAGTCGTTTTTAATGAAGGGTATTCTTTAAAAAAAAGGCACCCACGATAGCAAGTGGCTACTGYAGAATCTTGAAAGTCAAATGTGTATAAAATAGAACATTATGCACTTAAGGCAGACCCTGGGCCCGGTTGTACGAAAAGGGGACAGCGCTATCAGACGGATCAGATTTCTTGGAAAACAGCATCGTTTTAAGACTTTATCCATTGGATAGCGCTATCTAMACTTCGTACGACGGGGCTCTGGTCTCGAGGGAAATAGTTAGCTTTGTTTCACCGGGAGTCTTGATGTTTCCCGAAGTGAATATTCTCGTCAAATACAAACAAAAAAAAAACAAAAAAAAAACAAAAAAAAAAAATGGGGATTGAAATNTGGGGATTGAAATCTTTTATGGTGGCTGTCTACTAAGGCCACGTCCACACTATGCCGGATAAATTTAAATCCGAATTTTTATTAGCAATATTCGTGTGGACGGAGAACATTTCGTCTCCGAAATTTTTCGAATACGATGATGTCATGATTGTCATGGGAACATGGCGGGAAGGCTGAAAACTCACCGCGGGCTCAATTTCAGCTTCGATGCACATGCTCAGGTGTGCAATGAAGCGTTTTTGTCGCCTCTGATCGGACTAGTGTGGACGCGAAACATTTTATCTGTTTTCATGTGTGAACGAAATTTTTTTTTCGGTTTCAGTGTGAAAATTCCGGATTCAAATTTATCCAGCATAGTGTGGGCGGGGCCTAAGTATAGACTGAAAATGAAGCACCAAACTAAAACTACGCTGTAGCTACGTAGCTCCACGCTACTAGCAACGACGTTTTWTCACGCTTCTTTTTTCTTCGAAACTTTGATACGCTTATGCTTAATCGTGAATAGAGAATTTTAAATTGACGTTCACGGCAAACGTGTAATATAACGTCACTTGATCAGTGAAAAATCCTTTCAAAATAACTGAAAAGGAATCGCAAAAAAATCCAAGTAGCAGAAAAACAAAAGAATATTTGTTTGTGATATGAAAGTTTGCAAGAGGTTAAGTAAAATACAGGAAAACGATGAAAACGTGGTCACGTTTGCCGCTTGCGGGAAGAAAAAATAGTCAATCTAAAWCTCTCTAAAAATAAAATCAATAAATCACTTTTATTTAAGTGTCTAGTCGTTCTAGCATTTTCGTACTAATTGGGGACACTTTTCGCTCACACGCACTACCACTACATTTAATATTCTATGCACACAACGCTCAACTCACATGTTGATTTTTATGGAGGGAGGAAACCGGAGAAAACCCTGGTAGCATAGGAGAGAACAACACATCAAACAAACTCAATTCACATGTGCCGACCGCATTATCTATTATTTGCAAACGACCTCAGGACTTCCATTTCTATTCCCAGGTTTGAAATTATTATTAAAATTTGATTCAAAAAATCGTGATTCAAAAACATTTTCATGGATGTTTTCTATATTAGGAAACCACCTTGAAAAAGTCACGAACTACCTACCACTGACGTCTTGGAAGATCGTTACAATCCCAATCAAAACCAAAATACACGCACTATTCATTCTAAGATAACTCTTCAAAAACTACCGTATCATTAGGACTTTCGTCGTCAGCAACGCTAGAGTTTTAAGAGAGTTTTTAGTTAATATCAAATATCCGCTTGCTTTCTCAGCTGGAATTGAGTTCACCTATATAAACAAAATGTCGTATTGTAAGATCAGCTTAGCAAGGTTTATATCATGTATTTGTACAATCACCAGCTGAGTTGTCTGTGTTCCCCGAAAGGGATTATGGGTCAAGTAGTTTTGGTTAGCATTTTCATAGCAGGGGCTGAGTACGATTTAGATTTCTCGTGTTGAATCAACTAGAATTCCATTATGAGTTCAACTAGTAGTATTTACGATAAATTCAAAGAATGAAAAATTCATATTTGATGGGTTCTCTTGACAGAATCATGGGGTTGCTAATCAAAATATGATGTTGAATACTAATTTTTTATATGTTGAACTTGAGTTCGTTCTGAAGGTCAACTCARCTGGATCCAAAAACCGAATCAAAATTTGGCGACCAATTTGGATAACTATTCTTTTGGACTGAATAGTCTTGTGTTCACTGGAAAAGTAAAACGTTTTAACATGTTTTGGAGGGTAGTCAGTAAATAAGGATAGTTATTCCAATTGGTTGCCATATTTCGATTCGCTGTTCTGGCATAGAACACTAGAGAAAAGCGTTTGCGCATGCGTGAGTTTCAGCACGTTTTTCAAAAATACAGAAGATTTTTAATTATCAAATAAATATTCGTTTTCTCCGATAGCAAAGAAATGTGTGAGTATACTTTTTTGAATCCAAGTTACTCTAAGAAAATAAATAAATAAAATGAATAAATAAATTAGGCTTAATTTTCAAGAACATTTTGCTTAGCAATTATTAGAAAATTTATTTCAATGCATAACTGCTTAATTAGTTTTACAAAATTAKACATCTATAACGATTGAGGATTGATTGTTCGCCTCTCCCCGCTGAGGTTCTGAGGTCCAGGGTTCGACTCGCCGCATGTGGAATGAATAGTTATTTTCACAGTTCCCTGCGCTATCTTGAAAGGTAGCTGTGTCTTCAAGGCAAGACGAACGGTGAGCTTGCAATGATTAATACCTTTTTTAACAAATTATTCACATGTTTTTATCATGGCAAGCTCAGTTCAGGGATCAATCTGCGAGTTTGTCGTGCCCTGACTTAGATCATCCCAGAGGTTGTTTCAGGGTTCAATATGTGAGTTAGCCGTGCCCTGACTTAGATCAGCACAGAGGTTGTTTCAGGGTTCCATCTGTGAGTTAGCCATGCCCTGACTTAGATCAGCCAAGAGGTTGTTTAAGGGTTCAATCTGTGAGTTAGCCATGCCCTGACTTAGATCAGCCCAGAAGTTGTTTAAGGGTTCGATCTGTGAGTTAGCCATGCCCTGACTTAGTGAGTTAGTAGGGTTGCCATGAATTTGATTAGTCGGTCCAGACGTAGTTTCAGGTTTGACGCCGATGTCACTGGACATTGAAATAATATGACAAGAAGCCCAAAAATAGTTTCATAAGCATGTGTTTATTTTCCTGTTTACTACATCAGTTGTTTGCTACTTTTTTCCTTATCTATTGAAGGTGATACTTGACCTTGGTATAGACACTAAATCTACCAGGATCTGTGCAGCCATGACCCCAGCTGGTTTTTGTCGTCAATCTGTTCAAAATATCAAAACAAGCATGAATTTTATTGAGTTCTTAAAAAACATCTGGTCTGATCTAAGTCATACTGGAAAATAAGGAATCAGGGGTGGAGTTAATTAATGGAGGTAGTGTTCATACAAAAATGTTTTAATCTTGTTAAAAATGAGAAGATGGCAAGTTTAAGGTCAATAGACGATTTTCGAGATGAGTGAGCGCTTTCGTAACAAACGCGGATTTCGTTAAGCTTCTTATAGTACACTTTAACAAAATTACTCGACTCTGATTGGTCGAGAGGAGTACAATTATAACGTTAATTGTACTCCGTAGGAGTACCGAATTAAGTCGCTATGGCAACACGGCCAAAACATTGTGAAAACAATTATTTTCTATCATTTTGTATTTAAAAAACATATAAATAAAATTCTAAATCCGTAAGAACTAATCTTTTTTATGCATTTCAGTTGCGCGATGGACTAAAAATCGGCCGCCAAATAGACCAAGATGAATGGCGTCGCTTCGCATTTTTTACTGAAATTTTGTTGAGTGAACTATAAACAAAAAATCGCACGATCTTCTCGTACAATTTGGAWWTAATAGACACTCGTAATGTTTGAAAGTTCTTTAATTGACTCGCCTAAAGTCTCGTGCAATTACAAGAACTTTCAAAACATTACTCGTGTCTATTAATTTCCAAATTGTACTCGAGATCGTGCGATTTCCTATACAAACGCGGATTTCGTTAAGCTTCTAATTCGCATTAATAGTGACATGATAAACGYATTATCTGCAAAGAAAATAAAACTAAAGATAACACGTTTATCTTGTGGATTTCATATACCATCAGAGACTGGCTGAATTTTGTTAAGCATTCAGAGGTGAAATAGTGAGGGAAATGTATTATATTATGTATTATAGTACACTCAACAAAATTACTCGACTCTGATTGGTCGAGAGGAGTACAATTATAGCGTTAATTGTACTCCGTAGGAGTACCGAATTAAGTCGCTATGGCAACACGGCCAAAACATTGTGAAAACAATTATTTTCTATCATTTTGTACTTAAAAAACATATAAATAAAATTTTGGAGCCGTAAGAACTAATCTTTTTTATGCATTTCAG